TATGTCAAAGCAGGGGAGAACGTGGACGGCAGTTCCTGCTGGCGGGAGTGATGATCCCACTTCCAGCTCCTTTCCCAGCCCATTCCTCACCTTGAAACGAGCCAGGTAGTCTCCGATGACACTCTGTTGCCAGATCTCCTCAGCCGTCTTGGGGGACTCAGGCAGCTTCCCGCGCTCCTCTTTATCTGAGCCGTGCTTCTTCTCCGACTGCGCCTTCATTGCCGCCTCCCGCGCTTTGTACTTGGCCTGTGCAGGGGTGGACGGCGGGGGTGAAGGGGCAGCACGGCCACCCGGGCACAAGCCCCCAGCACCAAGCACCGGGAGGGCAGGCAGCAGGACGCCGCAGCTTCCCCCAGTGCTGTCCCCACGGTAGCACTGGCAGCCCCCCACCATGCACACCCACATCTCAGGACTTCCCTCCACCAGGAAAACCATCGAGCCTTTAAATTGAGGCTCAAGGACACTCCAAGGTTTCTTAAGCTGCTGGGTTTTGACCCACCAGGTCACGAGAGGGAGAAGACACAGCCCGGGGCACCCATCGGTGCCGACACCGGTGCCTGGGTGATGGCTTGCCGGAGCTGTGATGCTCCTGGGGACAACTGTCCCCCAGCTGCGGTGCCTGGGAGTGAGCAAAACCCCTTGCAGCAGGACGAGGACAGGCAGTGCCACCCGGGCTGCCGGAGATGCCCAACGGGGTGCGCGAGGGCAGCGGAGACACGGATGGAGGAGAAGGGTCGGGGACGATACCAACCTTCTTCTTCTCGGAGAGGTCATTCCACATGCGGGCCAGGAGCCGGGTCAGCTCGCTCTCCGACAGCTCCGGCCGCTCCTCCTGCAGCTGCTTCCGCTTCTCCTCCGAGAAGATGAACATGGCGGAGATGGGCCGTTTGGGCTTCTCTGAGCTGGCCTGCGGGAGGGACACAGGGCTGCGGGTGGGGGCGAGCACACAGAGGGACTTGCTGTGCACTGGCAGCCTCCAACCCCAGGAAAAACACGATGAAAGAACCAAGGAATGAAGCCCTCAAAGCACCCTGAGACGTCAGCAACCCCATCCCATGGCTCTGGCACACGCTGCCCCATCTCGGTCTTTTCTCCCAAGTAACAAGCGATAGGATGAGAGGAAATGGCCTCAAGCTGCGCCAGGGCAGGTTTAGGTTGGGTATTACGAAAAACTTCTTCCCCGAAAGGGCTGTCAGGCCCTGGCACAGGCTGCCCAAGGCAGGGGCTGAGTTCCCATCCCTGGAGGCATTTAAATGCCATGTAGATGTGGTGCTTAGGGACATGGGTTATGCTTAGGGACATGGGTTAGTGGTGGCCTTGGCCGTGCTGGGTTAACGGTTGGACTCGATGATCTTAAAGGTCTTTTCCAACCTTAACGATTCTATGATTCTATGATCTCCAGTTGCCGCTCTCACCTTGCCGGTCTCTGGTGAGGACTTTTTGGACGCAGGACTTGTCGCCCCTTTCCGATTGCTGCCCAGCATCTTCTCCTCGCCTAGCACCCGCTGCTGCTCCTCCTCAGGCAGGCTCTGGTGGCACAGGAGGAGAGACACGGTTAGCTGGCCCGATGCTAACGGGGCTTTGATGCAGTCGGGGAACAGGGGTGCTGGGAAGGGGGGAACTAACGCACTCTCTTGTCCTGATCCAAAAGCCACCCCAGCCAGGGCCAACATCAGGCACTGCAAGCCTGGGTACGCAGCCGGGGGGTCCCCATGCCTGTGTCACCCCCCTCGCTGGGCAATGTCCCTCTTCCCCAGCGCCTCCCCGGCTCGGTCTCATCTGCTTCCTCCCCACAAAGGCAGGGCGGCCACCCAGCGCACCCCTGTTTTTTTCCACCCTCTGCCCTTGCAGAAACAGCCGGGGCCACGTCACGTCCGTCCGGGGACCGAGTACGATGCTGGGACAGCCTCGGTGCGGCTCCCCCCGCCTACACCCCGGCCGAGGGAAGGAAGCGAGAGACGCTGCCTCCTGCACAGCTGCAGCCACTGGTGGCAACCTCTCCTCTGGCACCAGCCCTCTGCTCACCCCCAGCTTCCTCTCCTAGCTGGGGGGCCTGTCACCACCTCCCAGTGCCCAACTGGAAGACACTGGGTCAGGCATTAGGGCAGCTGGGGAAGGGTCAAGACTACGTGCAAACATCTCCGCACAGCACCCATGGCTGGGTCCAGCCACGTTTTGCGGGGAGCAGAAGAGGGCAGCATCAGTGCAGCCCCCATTTAACCCATCTCAGCCCCTGGCCAAGGCTCCCTCCCCGTGTTCGGGGTCTCCAGCACCCAATGGCCGAGGCACCCCCACATCACTCACCTCCAGGAAGCGGAGCAGCTCAATCTCGTAGTCTTTCTTTTTCTGGAGGGAGACGGAGACGTGCGGTTACACAGAGATTCCCTGCCCCATCCCTGCCTTGCTCAGTCCCTGACCCGGCCTCAGCCCCCTTGGCAACAGCGTCCTCCACCCAGACCATCTGCTGGTCCCACACACGTGGACTGGGGAGACAGAGGACCAAGGGAGGTGACCGAGGACCTCACGGGGAATTGGTGGTCAAGACGACAAGAACAGGCGCTGAGGAAGGGTGAGAAGCTCATTTCCAGTGAGATTCGTAGCCCAAGCTCTCCCATCCTGCTCCTCCCTCCCCATAGCACTGGTGCCCACCTGCCTGTCCACCCGTCTGTCCATCCTCGGCCACTCACCTGATCACATTTTTTGTGGTACGCATCCTTTTCCTTCTGGGAGAGCAGTTTCCACTGCTGGCTGCACAGCACCATCCGTTCCGTGCTGGGCACGTCTTTCATGTTGGCCATCAGCTCTGCACAGTACAGGGAGTAGCTATTCCTGCAACCAGCGGAGGGACCCAGCGTTAAGGACAACCTGCCCCACTCACGTCCCCTCTGCAGAGCTGGCTGGATGCTAAGAGCCCCCCAAGACCCCTCCAGCTGCCCTCTGGGTTGCACCAGGCAGTGAAGCGCTGTGCCAGAGGTGTCTGCATTTGAAGAAAGCTAGGGGTTGGACTACCCCCTAACCCAGAGCACGCAGCATCACCATAAACCTCGCCCAGATTCTCCGCAAATGTGTATTTAATGGATATTTCAGGACCAGTTTAATGGGGTCATTGGCAGCCCATGGCCATGGTCCTAGAAATTATTTGGGCTCTCAAAGCCAGGCAGAGCCCCAGTTTCCTCGTTAGCAAGAACCAGGATCCGCCCGAGCTGGCCAAGAGCCTGAAGCGATAGCTCAGAGAGGGAGACATCCTTCGCACCCAGACGGGGAAGGACAGGACTCACGGAGGTGGCTTTGTGGGTCGTCCATCAAACTTGTCCTTGAGCTGGCGCTCGGCCTTGGTGAGGGTGGAGCGGGTGATGCCCTCCTCGCTGATGTTCAGCTCGGGGTGCTTCTGGATGTAGTCACGCATGATCTCCTGCAAAGGACGGAGAGCGGTCAGGAGAGGGGCTCCGATCCCCGCCTGGCTGGGGGCCGGAGGAGGAGGAAAGAGAAGCCAACCATTGCCCTAATCATCTCCCCAGGGGCACTTCTCCCTTCCCCGAACGCTGCTGGATGAGGCAGGGCTCAGACTCGCTAGGGACCTGCAGGGATCTGGCTGAACCCCCATGCTGGCTATCGGGTGAGGCTGGCTAGCTGCTGGCGGCTAGCAGCTGGGAGGCAGAGTGGCTCGGAGTGAACGTAGGGACGAGTGTGGAGGGGAACGGGTGAGGCTGCTCCCTACCTCGTACTCCTTCCGCTGTTCCAGGGCCTTATGAATCCATTTCAGCCTCTTTTTATCCGAGAGTTGAGACCACTGCTTGCCCAGCGACTCTTTCACCTCCTTCGTGGTGGCCTGAAAACCCAAAGCCAGAGGTGAGGGCAGAGGGGTAAAATCCAAAAAAAGAAGAGGAAAAAAAAACTAAAAAAAAGGCAAAAATAGTGTTGCCTGCCATCTTGTCCCGGCGGCACCCGGCTTGGGGCCGCGGGGTGGCTGCGAGCCAAGCTCACGGCCGGGGAAGGGGGTGCGTGCGAGTGTGGGGCATGGCCAGAGGTGGGTGTCTGTGCTGGAAATCTTTCCTGCCCTGACTCAGGCTGTGGTCACCCCTTCAACTGCAGGCAAAAAGCGGGGTCTGTATCCCCGAGCCTCTTCCAGACGTGCAGAGCCCTTTCTTACCTCTGTCCAGACTGCTGGGAGCTTCTAGCGGTGTCTTCCATCCCGTCCCCCCCCTAAAACGCTTCTCTCGTTTCCCCCTCCTCTCCCCGCCAGCAGCGGGGTACAGGACCCCTCGACACTCACTCTCACACGCACTCCCACCCACCGTACTCACATCTGGACGCACTTTCAAGTAGATCTTCTTCTCGTGGTTGTACCACAGCTGCTGGGGGGTCTTGGGTTTTTCAGGGACGTCGGATTTCTTGGCGTTCTGGATGAGATCCGGGTGATCTTCCCTTTACCCGGCAGGGAAGGGAGAGCGTTACAGAGGTTGCAGGTGGAAGGAGAGGAGCCCCTAAACCTCCCCGCTAAGGGGTAACCGTCACTGCAGGGCTGAGCCTCCACAGGCTCAGATACTGGGGGGGACCCCGAAAAGAGCAGGAGGGTTTTAGGAGAGATTCAAGTCTGCCCCTCCTGGGGGAGCATCAGCTACAAGCATCCCCTTTAATGTGCCAGGCTGGGCTGCATCCCTGGAGCGGCGGCAGGTCATTGGGAACGCCAGGATCCACCTGGGTCACAGTGACCACGTTCATAGGGAAGGTCTGGGGGGAACAGGGTGGTCGCTTCAGCTTTTAACGGTGCCGGCAGCAGAGCTCCTGTCCTCCCCTTGCAGACCCTAATCCCCAGAGTGCGGCTGGTCCTCCGCCCTCTCCCCCTCGCCGAGTCTCCCAGCTGGAGGGTTGCTCTCAGACACCTTTTCCTGCTCTTTTTTTTTCAGCATCTCCCCTTCCCTTCAGCCTTCAAGCCACAGCGCCCATCAGGGCTTCCTCAGTGAGCTACACGCAGGAGGGCAGACTGGGTCTGCCTGGAAGGGCCCAGGGAAATGCCGGGGGGCTGCCCGCTCACCTGAACCTTGCCAGGTTCCTCTCAAACTCCTGCTTCTCTCGCTGGAAGTCCTGGATGTATTTCATCTGGGGACACAAAGCCACCAGGGAGGTGGAGAGGGACGTCAGCACCGGGGAATGGGCAGGCAGATACATCCCTGTTGACCCTGCCAGCTGGGCACCCCACCACCCCCAAAGGGACTCGAGGGCTCTCCAGCCCATCAGACTGGCCCTGCAGCTCCAGTTTCCAGCCTGCCCAGGGATTCAGAGGCAGGATCTCCCCCCTCTCCCTGCACCCAAGCAGCCCTGGACAGCCCTGGGCAAGAGGGCACAGCAGGACTTTGTGCCCTGGACCTTTCCTGCCGGTGGCAAATCCACCCAGACTGAAGGCTGGGGCACCCAAAATGCCTGCCCCGGCTCTGGCCAAGCCCAGGGCCAGCTCCAGAGCTGGAGGGGAGATGGGCCGCTCTCCTCCCAGCATCTCCCACGGCTCGGAGCAGAGCCTGCCCCTCCATCCCTCACTCGGACAGGGCAGCCAGGCTGGGGCGTGTGATTTAACCCCAGCGTTAAATACAGATCCACCCAACAGCAAAGTCACCATCCAGGTCCGTCTGGAAGAGACGGACCAACAGACAGACCCAGCCAGCCTCCACCCCACGGATCCTGGGAACCAGGACAGGAAAGAGAAAGGAAGTCTTACTGGTCTGACGGGACTAAACAAGCACCCAGGCTTCTCCCATCGAGAGCCGGATTAAACCCTCACCAGGTGGAGGCTGGGCTCTGCTGGTTTTACTGGGAGAGCTGGGCAGGCAGAGCCCAGCACGCAGAGGCAGACAAGTGGGAAGGGGCTTGCTAACTCCCCCCATACCTTTTTCTTCTCGGGAAGCTCCTTGTATTTCTTGGACAGGATCTTGGTGAGATCCAGGTTGCTCATTTCGGGGTGAAGCTTGGCATATTTGGCCCGCTTCTCCATGAAGAAGCGGAAATAGGGAGTCAGGGGCTTCTTGGGGAAGTCGGGGTGTTTCTAGGGAGACAGCAGAGCGGCAGACACTGAGTGCGGAGCCGGCGGCACCGCGGAGGGCACAGCCAAACCCCGCCAGCTCCCAGCTCCCCCCAGTACTGGGGGAGACCTGCCTCCATCCAGCCCTGCTGGTGATCCAGCTCCCTGACATGGGAACACCCTGGCTGTGCAGGCAAGGGCGTGAAAAACACTGGGAACAAAGGGCTCCCTTCCCCAGGAGCTACAATATCCCAGGGCTGGGTATCTCGGGAGCAGCCTCCAGCCATCCAGAGCTGCTGGCACAGAGCGGTTGTGCTGCAAAAGGGGAAACTGAGGCAGGAGGAGGGGCTGGGACCCACCTCCCGGGGACGGTCGGTGGCAGGGCATCAGCTGCCCTGGGGCCACCCAGCCGAAAGCAGCACCCCACCCGACCTGGCAGGCCAGGAATAGGACGGCAGCTTCCTGGCCCCCCCGGTGCTAAACTTGGATGCAGGCTGCCAGCAATACAGCCAGCCATATTAAATGTACCCTGGACTTGGCCCGGGCCCAGAGCCCGTGGCCTCCGGAGCCTTGGGCAGCCGGCCGCGGGGATTATGGGCAGTGAGGTGCCTGCAGGGGCTCTGGCGGCAGAGCCACGCGGGTGCGGGGTGCCACATGGGTGACAGTCCCCCACCCCGGGAAAGGGGGAGGTCCCCCTTTAGGGACCGACCCCAGTTCCTGCCTGATACCTTGAGCTTTTTGCCCTTGTAAGGATTCTTCACGTGCTCTTCGGCGTCCATAATGAGCTCCGTGAGGGTCCGAAACTTCCTCACCTGCGGGGTAATGAAGGGCCACAAACGTGAACAGGCTGCACACGGGGGACAGGCCAGATCCCCGCTCGGCACCGAGCCACGCTCGGCACGGCATAAACCCACAGGGTTTCGTAATGCCACCGCGCAAACGACCCGTCCCAGCGCCTCCGAAGGGTTCGCAACACCGACAGCAGCAGGATGGTGTCGGCACTAAGGGCCGGGGACTCAGGGCGCTGAACTCAAGCAATTCAAACAGCCCTGGGAGGTCACCAGCACGCTCGGTCCCTCTCACAGAGACCCCTCCGAGCCCCGTGCGGCCGTCCGTTACCTCGTTAGAAATCTCCATCCACTTCATCTTGCACATCTCCCCCGAGAAGTCCTTGAAAGCCACTTTCTCCCAATCCAGGTGGGACTCGGTGGTTTTGAACTTGCTCCCGTCGTTGGAGGGCAGGTTATTCTTCATGCACTCCAGCAGAGTCAGCATGTCCTCCTGAGACCAGCGGTCTGAGCAGCGAAGAAACAGACTTAGCAGCAGCGACGGGCAGGTGGCCTTCCCGGCAGGACATGGGGACTACAGCTCCCGGCGTGCAGCTCTGGACCACACGCTGGGACACGTAATCTCCACATGCTGCCTCTCGAGATTAAAGATCAAAGGGACGTGGCTGTTTCCATCACCCTCGAGCAACTTTCTACGGGCCAAAACAATCCAGGCAAAGCTAGAAAATCCACTCGGTGCAAACCAGAGAGAGTCGCTCATCCCAGCATGCCATCAGATAAGGCGATGGCTCTGCCGCGCGGGAGTGGAGGGCTGTTTCTAAGCGCGGGAGCGAAGCCCTGCGGAGCGAGACGGGAGCAACGCGCTCTCCAGCCAAGGAGGAAACAGGGAAACCCACTTTCTAAGTGGAAAAGATGCGTCCGGAGCAATGGGAAACTGCTTTTCCTTCAACTCAGAGAGCCTTACCATCACCTGGGACCTAGCTCCATGTTGACCTCTGCCAAGGTCAAAGCTCAGGGACCACAAAGCTGGGGGTGGGCAGAGCCCAGCACAGCCCCCCCGTCTCGCAGTGGGGTCCCCGATGGGGCAGGGGGGATGGTTATGCCACCCCAACACCTCCGGAGCTGCCGGCAGCAGTGTCCCCAGCTCCCATAGGGACAAGCTGCCGGGATGGGCACATGGCAAAGCCGAGGAGCCTGGAGCAACCAGGAGGCTGGGATGGGCAGCAGCCCTGTGCCGGGACAGGCCACAGGCAGGATACCCCAGCACCCAATCCCCCATCCGGCACCGACATTGGGGCTGCTTCCTCGCCAGAGGAATTCCTCTGCCGGGCTCTCTGCTCCGAGCTTCCGTGCCAGCTGGGGAGAGGAGCCCTGGGTGCTCTGCAAAGATGGGTGGCCCTGGGGAAAAGCAGCGGGCCCTGGGAACGGAAAGAGAGGTCCCCGGGGACGGGCTGGAGGAGGAGCAAAGTCCCAAGCTGCACGCCCACGCAGCCCCGTCTGCCTCAGCCCAGGACGGGCACCCGAGCCCAGGGGCTCCCTGGGAGCGGGCCTGGCTCTCCACGGCGTCCCCTGCCCCACGTCACTGCCAGGCGAAGACTGGGGCGTTCGGAGCTGCCTAAGGGACACGGAGCATCCCGGCAAGACGGGGACAGTGCAGCCGGTCATGGATTTGAGGGGAGCATCCCTCTCTCCTCCCATCGCTAGGAATGAAAAGGAGCCCCCAGAAATACCCGGCTGCGGCTCTGCCTCCGCTCAAACTCCACAAGCACAAAAACACCACCTCTGCCTCCTGCCTCTGCCGCGGTCCGGAGAAGGGCAAACCCCTCCTGAACCCCAAATCCGAGCAAGGGATGTTAAAGGACACGTGGGAGACGCAGCCGGGGCGGGAAGTGTTCCCCCCATTTCGTCTCCTGGACCTGCCAGGTCGGGGGGTCGAGGCAGGAACAGTTTGGGATCCTGCCAGTCTCCACAGTTCCCTCGTCAGGTCCATTAGGGATTAATTGGAGGGGGGAAGGTGGAAAGAGCCCCCCATAAAGCGGGGAGCCCAGCGGCTCGGGACGTGTCTCCTCGTTTCAGAGCACCGAAATATCACAAAGGGGGAAAAGAGATGGGAAACCCCCGTCCCCCGCAGTGCCTCGGGGGGGGATCAGAGGCACCAAGCCCAAAATTTTGTCTTCCTGTTTTTCCCATCCACTTTCCAGAGACCCCTCAGCAAGGACCAAGGAGGCAGAATCGGGCCGTGAAGCTGGTGCCGACTTTACTTCCAGAAATTGGGAGAAATAACCGAAAGCAGCACGGCCACAAAAATCAAGTGGGGAGGGAGAAGGGGACGAGACCCCCCCGCCGCCCCAACAGAACT